AATTTAAATGTTTACTCAATAATTATGAATGAAATTTTTTCATAGCAACCATGGATTTCCTTTGCGCAGATACATGTACGCTTAGCGTACCTATTTTTCATTTAGTTCTGATAAAATATTAATATTGACTAGTAATTACTACCGCAAGTGAAGTGCTGCCTTAAAGTTGGAAATAAACGTTTAAATAGTTGGGGATAAATTGCGATTTTCCAAATTCAAAAACAACAGCAGTACCATTAGGGTCAGACATACCAAAAGAATTTCTGGCATGAGGATCAAATAAATAGAAAAAGGAATTTATATCATGCATTAAGGCCATCATACCCATCTAATATCAAAATAGCATCCTTACTTTGTGTAAAAGTATTCATCAAAGCTGAACCAAAGTTAACATATGGAGCTCCAACTTCATGCTCATTTGTAATAATTGAACCTTGTCCGCTTGACGGTCCCGCTTTCCATAGTTTATATACCAAATTGTTTCATCATTTTGTTTCTCATTGGGTTCTAACTCGATTACAATAGACAGTGTTTTATTGCAAGGAGACAGTATGTATCGAAATGCTTTTGAAAATGGTCTGATTGCACGTGAGAGATATTTGTCAATCGATGAATTACCGACTGTTGTCCAATGGTCGACTGATTTTCAGGCACACATATACAGCTCAATGAGGCACAAATACAGCTCAATGAGGCACAAATACAGCCCACTGAGGCACAAATACAGCCCAATGAGGCACACATTCAGCCCATTGAGGCACAAATACAGCCCAATGACAATGAGGCACAAATTCAGCCCAATGGAGCACAAATTCAGCCCAATGAGGCACAAATACAGTCCAATGAGGCACGAATTCAGCCCAATAAGGCACAAATACGGCCCAATGAGGCACAAATTCAGCCCATTGAGGCACAAATACAGTCCAATGAGGCACAAATTCAGCCCAATAAGGCACAAATACGGCCCAATGAGGCACAAATTCAACCCAATGAGGCACAAATACAGCCCAATAAGGCACAAATTCAGCCCAATGAGGCACAAATACAGCCCAATGAGGCACAAATATAGCCCGATGAGGCACAAATACAGCCCAGTGAGGCACAAATACAGCCCGATGAGGCAGTTATACAGCCCGATGAAGGCAGAAATACAGCCCAATGAGGCAAACTATGAAGTACAGCCCAACGAGGCAAACTATGAAGTATTATCTATTTTACCTGTGGTCTACTGAAAAACGGGCATGGCTTGAGCAGTTTTAAAAGAGCGCCGATAAACACATAAACGAGCATTGTTTCCCTCGCGATTGTTCACTCAAGAGTTCGTGGCCCTGATCATAGCCCTGATGAATACTTCCAGGAGCAACTAAAGACACAATTTATTCTTAACAAACGACTAAACTGCTTACCATAAAAAATTCTTTAAAGGCGGATACTATACTGATAGATGTGTGAACAGCAAAAAGGCAACGTGGTCGACTGGTCGTGTGCTGTGACGTAACGTACGATGAATATTTCCGACATGATCGCCCCCCCCCCCC